GATACAGTGACTCAGTATATTCTTTCCATCTTCTTTTAATACTACCTGGATCATTTAACATTCTGCCGAAAGCATCCTTGATTATAGCAACTCGAGTTTTTAATTTTTTGTTCATTTCCTTGAGCTTAAGAAATGCTGAGCGAGTTCAGCCTTTTTGATTTTCTGACTCCAACTCCTTGCACATTTCATTGTAATATTTTGCTTTCTCATCCCGTGCTGCCTTTTGAAATCTTTTATTCACCTCTTTAGTATCTTGAATTCTTCCTTGTGCTTTGGCTTCCCTGCGCTCCAGTGCAATTTTCTCTCTCTAACAGAAATGTTACGTAAGAAAAAATGGGCCGTGTACAGGATAAGGAATAAGGGAAAAATTTAGAGGGATAGATAGATATAGAACTCCAAACACTGTATGATTGTAACTAGCATCATGTTAAACAATAAAAAAGTTAACAAACTATTACCTAGAAATTACAAGAGCAATCAAATTGTTTCCATACCATATCAAGTGAAATAATCCCAAAAGCATTGTCATTTGATAATATGGTGACAGTAACAGTTCTTGGCCATCCAAGTTTCACCTTTGCTGAGGGATTCTAAAATAAAATCAAAAGAATACAACAATAAATTAAAAAGGAAAAACAATAATTTTAATAGACTTAAGTAATTATACAAAAAAATGAATAAAAATGCATAATAATTATACTGTACATATTTAGGAAATATAAACTAACAATAAAAAAGAGGAAATACATTAAGAAACAATAGCAAAATTCAAGAGAGCAGCAAACAACAAATGCTGGTGAGGTTGTGGAGAAACTGGCACACTTATTCACCATTGGTGGGAGTGTAAAATGGTGCAACCACTATAGAAGGCTGTATGGCAGTTTCTCAAAAAGTTGGGAATAGAAATACCATTTGACCCAGCACCCTAAAGAAACCATAAATGCCACCCAATCAGATATATGCACACTCATGTTTATTGTTGCTTTGTTCACAATAGCAGAGTTGGAAACAACCCAAGTGTGCATCAACAAACAAATGGATAAGAGAAGCTGTGGTATATTCACACAATGGAATACTATGCTACACTAAAAAACAAGGAACTCATGAAATATTATACAAAATGGGTGACCCTGGAGGACATTATGCTGAGTGATATATCTCAGTCAGAAAAGGACAAATACTTCATAGTTCCACTGTTGTAAAACGGGACTGCCATCGGGATTGGGGAGAACCTAAAAAAAGAGAGGATAAATAATGTATACTGCGTTGAAACAGATGAGGAAGAGACTGTTTAAAAGGAATACAGGCTTAGGTATTTTTTTCATGACATGATTACAGAAAAAGAAATGCATAATAAAGTAGACTGTGGACTTGGAGGGGACTGTATAACAATGAAAGAATTTTTTTCTTTTTAAAGAGAAAAATGAACTGGGGGAGGGGAGGGCAGGGAGGAAAATGTGCAACAATGAGTGAATGGGGGGAAATTAAATGAAAGAATATGCTGTAACAATTATATATGTTGCATTAAAAAATCATTAATAAAAATATTTAAACACAAAAAAACAAAACCCTAAAACAAAAATGACTTTAAAAATTTGAAAACAATCAGTAAGAATTGACTATTATGAATTATAAACTACTCTTAGACAATAAAATATTAGTTTTTAAATCACAATTACTATGCCCTTATTAATATTCTTGCTGTATGTGCTGTCAGGTCAGCTACAACTTACAGCAACCCTCTGTCCAATGGTTTACTAGATCATACTATTGTCTGATTCAAAGTGGTCAATGCCAATACATCTCAGTTTGCTAATGTCTAGTATATCAATATTTATGCATTCCAGGTCTTTTTTAACCAGTTCCAATTTTCCTACATTTATACTTCATACATTCCACATTCCAATTATTAGTGGATGTTGGCAACTATTCCTGATTTTTTTTATGTCTTCCAATTTGAGGACTGAGCCTCCAGCTTTATATTTAATAGATTTCTGTGCTCTTTTGTTTATAGAAGTTTCCAAAACCTATTATTACTCCAGAACAGGATGGCTAATCCTTCTTCCTATTCTGTCTTATTCTGAGTAAGCAGATAATACTGTCAGTTCTTGACAATCCAAGTTTCATGTTTGCTGAGGGTTTCTAAAATAAAAGCTCAAGAATATAACAATAAATTTTTTAAAATGTTGTATTAATATTTAAACAGGGAATTAGGTATCTATCATGAAATTCTGTTCAAATACTATTTTTATTTTACTATAGAAGATACTGAAAGTTAAGAATCAGCTGTTCTATAAATCAAAGTTCAAAATTAAAGATGTTCTTGTTGATTGCCGTCGAGTCAAACTTGACTCATAGCAACCATATGAACCAAAGGCATGAAGCCTTTCTACAACTATCGTCATTTCTCTATGTTCATAGCTTCCAGAGGCGTGTGGTTTAGGAATTGGATGCCACTCTTACTTCCAAACCTGTCTTAAACTGGGAGTTCCACCAAACACGTCCACCATGGGCAGCTGTTATGGCATCTGACCCACAATGATGCAAGGCTCAGCTTCTCAGCAAACCCTGATTACCTCAGTACAGCAAATTCACAGAAGAGTGTTGTACAACTTAAAAGAATGTTCCTCCAAAATAGTAACACTAGGCCCGTGGGCCCAACTGATATTTAAATACAAGATAGAGATAGAGAGATACAGATACAGATAGATAGATATAGATGTAGATGTAGATGATAGAGATAGAGATATAGAGATAGAAATAGATGATACAGAGATAGAGAGAGAGAGAGAGATAGCAATAGAGATAGAGAGAGAGAGAGAGAGAGAGAGACAGAGATAGAGATAGAGATACACACACACACACAAGATGAACAAAGGCCAGAAGCCTTTCTATAACTATCATAATTTCTCCAAGTTCATAGACTTTCCAGAGGCATATGGTTTAGGAAGTGGATGCCAGTCCTGCTTCCAAACCTGAATCAGTCTGGGAGCTCCAACAAACACTGCCCATGATGGTAGCCAATTATGGCATTTGATACACCTATGGCACAGTTGTCCATCATCACAGCAACTCTAAGTTACTTCAGTATATCAAATAGATCACTGCTGTACCATGAGAAGCAAAATATCATTGGAAATTTAGAAGAGGGAAGTTTTCTGTGCCATTTCAGCATTAGCATAAAGGAATACAAATTTAAAAAGAGTCATTTACAAAAGCAAAACATGGCAGATACCATTTTCATGAAAATTTAATTATAATGATATTCTAAATAAAGCAGTATCAATGTCTTTCAGAAATAAATCAACTAGAGTAATGTTGGCAATCACTTTCAAAAGCAATGATCAAGGCATAAAAGGTGATTAAATCTTTGACTGTTCAGTTATCCAACTTCCCCACCCCCCACCCCCGCCCAAGGTTACTCTGAACTTTTTCTAAGGCACAGGGATTTCCCACTCCCATGCCTAGTTTTTGTATCCTTCTCCTTTGAACTAAGAAGTCATGGTCATTCTTTGTGCATATGATAGCAGGGGAAGGCTAAAAGAGAAAAAGGTCAAACAGAAGATGAGGTTTTCATGAGCCTTTGTCACAGCAATTCTTAAATAAGCTGAACAGACTGAAAATAAGCTGTTGAATCTTCTAACGATAATCTGAGAAATACCAGACAGTGAAACTGCTAAATAAGGCCAGTTGTATCTATGAAAATCACCAGCAATCACCTAGGTGTTTCTCACTAAAGAAAGTTTTACAAGACTTTTATGAGGTTAAAGTTAATGGGGAAATAGGCTTACCTGCAATGTTAAGTGAAAAACAAAAGTTTCATCAGGCTCTGGTAAGTCATCGTCACATACGGCTATATACACTGTTCTATTTGTTTCTCCAGCAGGTATAAAAGCCGCAGCATATGTGTCAAAAAAATCCCCGGTATCTTCACCATACAGCTAGCATATTCAGGGAGAGAAAATGTAAAATTTCAAAAATAATCTTAAAAAAAACTCCATTCAGAACAAATAAAAATGATGCCAACTAGCGCTATCAACAAATAGAAAATAAAATGTATGAAAACACAACACATTATTACTGTCGAGTTGAAACCAATTCATAGTTGAACCTCTAGAGAGTTTTCTGATGCTATAAATCACACAGAAGGAGAATGTCTTTCTTGCCCAGAGCCAGTGGTGAATTTGAACCACCAGAATTTTAAAAATTGCTTTGGCTTAGTGCAACTCCCTACAGACTATGCCATCAGAGAGTCCTTATCAATTGATAAGATGTACAAAGATATAAAAGATGAATAACAACTGGTAAAATTCATCTTGAAAAAAAACTACCACCAAAAAGGTAGTATATCTATACAAAAGTGACTCCTTTATGTTCTAAAAGGAAAAAAAGAAATCCACAAAAGAGTGAAAAACTATGCAAAAGGTACTAGTCTACAGCACTACTTTAGCATATTGCTTAAGAACATATTTTTAAAAAAACAAAATCTGCATGAATTTGGGTCTCATCTATCCTGAGATCGGAAAAGTTCAATGATCCTTGGTCACCACTTATAAACATTCTAATAAGGGACACAAGGAAAAAAGGGTATAAAGGGGGGGAAATTGAAACAAAACTCAAATTCATTTAAAAAATAAAAACAAACCCAAGCTTACTGGGACAATTAATACAAGATTACTTCCCAATGATATAAGAGATGCTCTGTAAATCTTAAACTGAAACTACCCTCCTAAGGTCACCTTTCAGGTTGTTTCACATACTAAAGAGCAAGGCCCATGAGTACTAAGCATCTTTGAAGAATCACCTATACGAGATAAAATAGCCAACACTCTGAGCGCAAATGAAAGGGCAAGTAGACAGGGAAATCAGACAACTGGAAGTGAAACATCCAAAACAGAATTCAGGAGAATTTAAGCACATCATGAAAAATGTAACCAATGTCATTCAACAATCTGTATAGTAACTATTAAATGAGGTACCAGTTGCCTGTGTAAACTTTTGCTGAGAACATGGTAAAAATATTCTTGTAAAAAATAAAGTACTAAAAAATTTCTAAACACTTCAGAAACTCAAGAGCACAAGGGTGTTGAAAAATTGGTATTCCATTTTACGCTACACACACACAGAGGTATCATCTTTAAAAAGCATTAAATATAAAAAGTCATTGAAGCAAACACAGAATTCAACTTAGGAGAAGAATGTTAAAATTAAGAAAGTAGAAAATTTACATGTATAATACAGTTTTATCTGATCTACATTCATAGTAATAAAAACCAAAAAGAATTTCAATGGAAAGCTGTTAAGCAATAACGAATAAGTTATGATACTACCAACAAGAAAAATTGTAGAAAAGACAGAAAAACCTGGAAATCATTAGAATATAATATATGTTATACCAAAAAAAGATATTATAAAATTCAAACTAATAAGATATATACATATATGCCATAGATTTTAAAAAACTTTATACCAATGCACAAAATTATAATACTAGATTGGTTTCACATTTTTTGTGGTTTTGGAGTGTGGGTTTTCTTAATTTTCTTTCTCTTTTCACAATGTTTCATAATGTAATAATTTAACCTGTTGTGTAAAAATATTTTTTTACAAACAAAAATATCAAACAATTTTTCAAACATAGCAATAGCTTAAGGTGTATATGATATCAGCTCTCCTCAAAAATTGGCATACACTGAATACTATACACTCTATCCAATAACAAGATCATACACTCTATCCAGTAACTAAAATCTATGCATGATGAAAAAATGGTTTCAATAGCTAATAGTAATATGCTTTGCTCTATAAAACACACTCTCTGATATGACTTTTTTTCTATTGTCATTATGTACTTTCAGGTATTTCACATATTTTCTCTAAACTACAATAGAAAACGTCTGATCAAATATAACTAGAATCAAAGCTACCCATAATAAAATGTTTCTACCTAGAATTTCTTGTTTATATCTTGTTTTTTGCGTGCTTTAAAGTAAATATAAAAATCCTTTAAAATTGTCTTCCATCTTTAAAATATTATTGTCAAATATATGAAGCTACACTCTATGAACCTATAAGAGACATGAATGTAACAGTATATAATAATTTATTATAACAAAACTCCTCAGAATACCAAACAGTAAAAAATATCTTAAGAAAGTTCATATTTATATCACAACTATGATCATTTCTTACCCATACAATTGCAGTAACATTTACTGGTTCTCCTATTCTCTCTATGACAAGACGAATAACTGTTGTACTTGTTTCATTAACAATAAATTCCGTTTGTCCAGCAAATCTTACTTCTGTTTCTCCAAATACAAAAGGCATGAGTAAAACTGAAAGAAGATTTACTAATAGAGATGCAGAGGACATCCCTGGAGGTGGGAAAAAGAAGGATTTTATTTGTTAAATATATGTAGTACATTTCCATTATATTAAAATATTAGATTAGATTTTGCAAATACAGAAACAAATGACGATTTAAGCAATGAAGGTAAGACATAAACACTCAAAAACCCACTGCCATGGAGTAGATTATCTCTCACAGCAAGCTTCTGTTAGCTTTATGAAGCTATAAATCTTAAAAATAAGAGCTTGCCTGTTCTTTCCTCGAGATGGCTGAGGGGTAACCTTTCAGGTTAGCAGCCTAACCTCAACCTACTACATGACCAAGGTTCAAGCTCTAAAATATAAATTACATCAAATATAAAGCCAGGAAACTCAAACGTGTAATCACAGAGGTTAAGTTTTAAAAATCACCATCTCTTCTTAAGGTTTTTAAAACTATTTTTCATTTTTAAAAGTTATTCCTTTTTTAAATGTATTTTATTTCTTTATACTTTATGAGATAACGGTTACAAAAAGTCTTATACCTATTTTTTTAGTTTGTTAAAAAAGGTGTTCACTGACACTTTATCCTAAGAAAAACCTGAAAACAGCAACATGGAATTTCAGTGAAAGCTCCCCTTTCCTCATGTGAGACTAAAATACCAGGAAAAACTGAAATTATCAAGTGGATCCACATTTTAAATGGAACATTCATCTGTTTACTTGATGTTCATGCAAATATGGAAGGCTTGCTGTTATGTACCGTCAAAGTCTAACCAACCCATAGCTGACACTCCAGCTACTTTTCAGAGGCAATACATGGCGTGGGAGATGTTTGCCCATCTTACTCCTGTGGTGTAGCTGGTGAATTCAAACTGTGTACTTTTGGGTTGGAAGTGCAGCTTGCCAGCAGATCACCAGAGCTCCACAGAAGGATTGTTGTTGTTGTTGTTGATTGTCATCTAGTCGAACATGACTCATAACAACCCTATGAATAAAAGACCTGAAGCCTTTCTAGAACTATTATCGCTTCCCAAAGTTCATAGTTTCCAGAGGCATGTTGTTTAGGATATAGATGCCACTCCTGCTTCCAAACCTGTCTTAAACTGGGAGCTCCACCAACCGTGGTCCACCACAGGTAACTGTTATGGCATTTGATACCCCAATGGCACAAGGTTCAGTATCACAGCAACCCCAGGTTACCTCAGAACAGCAAATTGACAGAAGAGTGCTCTAGTACTTAAGAAGACTGTTAGTTATTTTTATTTACATAAAAGCATTTGTATTCCTAATGTCATTCATATCATTGTCCTCTGATGAATACAATTAACATTAAATATTTGCTAAATATTCATACACAGTTAAAAATATTATTCTAATTATTAAATATAACAAAGGTTAACTAATGCATTATTTCTTTCTGATAGCTATAAAGATCCAGTTTTGCTACAAAGCCTTATCTTCATCTTATTATGGATTTATGGTGCAGGCTAAGATTACTCTTGTTTACCAGTAGTTTTAGCTTGTACGCATCACATTCAGTCCTGTCTAGGTACTTAGAATATGCATTAAAAAATCTTTGATGTTCCTGTTACTGGAGAATTTTGAACAAAGAGCTTAAACTTTTCTGTTCTTTCGTGTCATTATATATAAATTATGTTATCATTATGTACAATTTCATTTATTATGGTATTATGAGTGCTAAAAAAAGATATAAAGGTCTGAGAATTCAAAAGAATTCTTACCATTATCACCGATCATAGAAAAATAGAGTATAGCAACATGTCATGCATATTTTTATGTATTCTATGTGCATGCATTTTGAGTATGTCTTTTAAAAATTTATAATCTTGAAACATTTACATTTTAGCTGGAATAAACTTTAATAATCATCAATGCATTACCTTTCTTCTATAAATAAGGAAACTAAGGCTCAGGAAGATGAATGACTAGCTCATAATCACTGCAAATTAATGACAGAGAAAGTTGCACCAAATTATATAGATTTACTATATTTGCATAGTACTATATTTACATGTATTTACACAGATCAGACTGCATTTACGTCCTGTCTTAACCCAATTTTTTTCTCAAGTGTTATATATGCTTAAGAGTTATTAATGTATAAAATTATCTAGTGTGTATTTATGTAGAATATCCTTAAATAACTTATTGCCTATTATCTGATATTTGTTGTTTGTATTGATTGCGAGGTTATTCAAAATGTTTAATTACTACCAATAAAAGTTTACTCTTTCAAAGAAGAGGTAAATATTCAGGACTTAAATTTCTTCCATTTTACGATCTAAAGTACTAATGCTGCTTCTTAAAAAACACATTCATAGTTGCTTTAAAACATAAGCACTTTGAGCAAAATATGGGTGAGTTTCTTTTCTATAAGGCCTATTGTTTTTTCTTGCTATGATGTGTGTGTTTATGAGTCACCAATATTGTTCCTATTTTCAACACTGTGTGGTTCAACTGTTTTCAAAAGCACAACAGTGCAGTGTACTCTTGAAAGTGCTGCCTTTTTTTGTAATGTAGATGCACCTTTAAAAATGTGAGCAATTTATCTCACGGATCATTAAGATTCCAATGGATCTATGTGAGCAGTCACACGAACATAATAAGTCCATGCTTTTTTAAAGAAGACTTGCATTATGTATTCTATGAGCCAAAATCCTTCCTATTAATCCGAACTTCAGTCAAGAAGTAATAGAAAATTCATGTATGTTGTATACTCTCTTACTTTCTCCACATGCCATTACATTTTTAGGGATCACTAAACACTTGGGTTCTTGATATATTTTAAAGCTGAAATGCCATTTTCTCAGTCCAGTGTGTTCCAACAATGCAGTCTATGATTGTTCAGTGATGTCTTATATTCATAGCCTACAAAATCCACACACCAGGAATGCAGAGTTCACGTGGAGTCCACGAAACAGACAGTGGCTACTAAGGACAGAGACTCTGAAGGATTGACCCTTTTGTCCCTTTTGTCTTTTCTCCAAGTGGGTCTGCTAAGAGAGTAAGAGACATGACAGAAGAAATAAAACAGTTCTTACTCACTAACCACAAAGTCTTTCTTGAAATCTAAGCCAAGGATATTTACCAAAGGAAACGCAAAGGAGGGAAAAATATATAGAAAGGTGAAGAAAAAACAGAGATGAGGTAGAAATTAGGAGCAGTTCTAAGCTAAATCAAAGACAGCTAAAGAAAATATTCCATGAAATTCTAAAGCCAGAGTGATTCTCACACTGCACTTGATACAAAGACAGGGAAAGAAATAAATTAGAAGCAAAGAGAATATGGAATGGAGGTGTGAAGAATCAGAGTTGAGGTTCAGACTCTATAAGGAAAAGATTAGCTGTGATCTACTCTGATTTTGAAAGAAAAGTCTATAGTGTGTGACTGGAAGATAGAACAGAACTTTAAGATGAGAGAACTAAGGACAGAAAGTTGAAGGAGAGAAAGGATAAAGTGAGAGTTCAACATAAGAAGTTATGACAGATGTGGGATAAGAGAAGTTCCACAAATTTGTCCTACATAAGAATCATAGCTAAAGAGTTTATGAAATTGCTAATTGCTATGACAAGCAATTCTGATCCATTTGGTCTATGTTGTTGTGTATCATCAAGTTGGAATCGATTCATAACTGACCCGCCAGTAGGTTTTGAGAAACAGTAATTGCACAGGAGGAGACTGTCAGTCCTTCTCTCCCCATAGCAGCTGATGAATTCAAACTGTTTACCTTTCACATTGTGGCACAGTCTCTTCCACTAGACCACAAGAGCCCCACCTGGTCTATAGTGAGGCCCAAATATTTACATTTAACAAGAAGCTGTATTGATTCTATGCAAATGATCCTTGGAATTCATTTTGTGAAATACTGCTCTAAAAGCCAGAGAAAGAAACAAGGATATATATGGATGACCAAATGGCCAAACAAATCTATGTTGGGGGAAGCCAGAGTGCTCCTTAAAAGCAGGGAGGGTGAGACTTTGTCTCATGTACTTTGGGCAATGTTATCAGGTGGGGCCAGTCCCTGGAAAGAAACATCATGATCAGAAAAGTAGAAGGTCAGCAAAGGAGAGCAAGAGCTTCAAAAATATGGACTGACACAGTAAGTGCAAGAACAGGCATAAGTACAGCAGAGATTGTGAGGGTGGCACAGGATATAGCTGAGGTCTCTATGAGTCAGATTTGACTCAATGGCACCTAAAAACAATAATTATTCGGGCTAAGGGGTCAACAATTAATTTCATCTTACTTGGATTCACAATCAACATCCTTGGTACCAGCAGTCATGAAATCAAAATACATGTAGAAGGGAAAATCCTGCTGTCAAGGACATAGCCAAAGTGCTTAAGTGCAATGATGTCAGCTTGAAGACTAAGGTGTACCTGATCCAAGCCATGGTCTTTGTATAACTTGTTATACATCTGAGAGTTGAACAATGACTAAGTATGACAGAAAGATTCATGCCTCTGTGATGTGATGATGGAGAAGAGTACTGAAAATCCCATGGACTGCAAAAAGAACAAATAAAATGTCTTGGAGAAATTGCATCCACAGTGCTCCTTGGAGGTAAGGATGATGGAAAAACTCCATCTCACAAAGTTGAGACATATTTTTAGGAGGAACCAATCCTTGGAAAATGATATCATGCTTGAAAAGATGAAGAGTCAGCCAAAGAAGAAGACCCTCACAAAAGATGCATTGGCAGTGACTGTAACAATGGGGTCAAGTATATCAGAGATGGTGAGAATGTTACATTCAGGGCAGGGTTCAGATCCATTGTCCATAGGGTCTCTATGATCAATAGTCAACTTGCTGGCACATAAAAAGGAAAATATTGTGAGCTCATATTGTTTGCTGTTATTGTGTATGGTCAAGTCAGAACCAATACATTGCTGGTTCTCCAGTAGGTTTGAAAGGAAGCAAAGTGCATGAGAGGAGATTGTTCGTCCGTCTTTCTGCCACAGAGCAGTTAGTGGGTTCCAAACGTATGCCTTTAGTGTTACATCTTTCTGGTGAACTTGAACTG